GTGGATAGAGCATCAGCCTATGGACTGAAGGATCTCGGGTTTGATTCCAGTCAAGGGTACATGCCTGGGCTGTGGGCTCACTTCCCAGTGTGGGGCATGCAGGAGGCAGCCAATCAATGAGTTTCTCGCATCATTGATGTTTCTATCTGTCTCTCCCTCTCCCTTCCTCTTTGAAATAAATAAAAATATATTTTAAAACTGAGCCAGTGCTTTTTATAGAATGCTCAGATACTCTAACACAAGAAGAATATTATAATAAGGATCAGAAACGTAGAATGGAAAGGGGATAAGGGAGGAGAGACTGCCAAATTTCAGAGCCTTTCCCTCTCCCCTCCACCAAGCTTCTTTATAAAAAATTAATTATAATCACAGTAATATATTGAACAGTTTAAAAGTCATGACAATATCCTCAACCTGGACAAGATGACCTCTTAGGCAAGAGAAAATATTTTATCTCACTCCACTAAAAGAGCTACTTATTATGTTTGGTATCAGAATTGTCCTAATCATTTACTACAGCTGCCTCCCTTCTCCATTGTTGTTCAGTTTGTGCAGATAATTAGAGCTGATAAAGTTAGCTGACATGAGGTCCAGGAGTTTCCAAGAACTAACATAGGAATATTAGGGGAATTTGATAACATTCTTTACTGACTCTAACACTAATGATGTGAAACTCGGGCCTACCCTCTCGAGTTTTTCTTTCTCCCTTTTCCTATGTCTTTACCTACCCTAGAGCTACACAACTCTCTTGGTTCTCTACTCTTATACTCAGGCTGTTGAATGTGGTAAAAGAAAAAACACACTCGAAAAACCAATGATAATAACAACACACACTATGCACCATGCCCCTCATCCTACATAGACTTGTATGATCCATTTGTGCTCTAGATCCCATCCTCTCTTTCTCCCCTTGGTCTATTAATCCTTCTCCTCTCCAGCTTCTCTGTTATCTCCTTTCCTCAAGATTAAGTCCCTCAGACTTCTACCTCTAGTCAAGACAGAGAAACAGTGAGATTTGCCTCTCCATCTGAGACAAATTTTTTTAAAAAAGAATATGTATAAAACAATGGTTTTCCTCACACTGGACATCAGACAACAAAAGACAATGATGCCTGAAAGGAAATGAAGGAGATGATAATTGTAACGGCCGTTTGCTTACAGCCTTGAGAGCGGTTCTAAGCTGCTGCACAAGATGGGGAACCCAGGTGCAGCCTGGTTAACTACTTCAGTTGAGGCGATGGAGCTGAGAGTCTTAAAAGACCAAGCTGATCAGAATCCACAGGACAGTTGCACAGAGAGGAAACTCAAGGGATCTCCAGAGAGTCCCACTCAAGTACTCAGCAGAGCTCTTAAGGGCCTGTGTGTAATTGTCACAGGAACCCAAGTTTGGCTGCCTGCCGCCACAAAAACCAAACTCATGAGACAGATGCTGCTGAAAAAGGAAGTGATTTTATTCAAGTGCCAGTCACCTGAGGAGATGGGACTCTTGTCCCAAAATCCATCTCAACATCTCAATGCAGGCAGAGGGTTTTATAAGGAGGGAGAGGCTCACGCATTTGTGGATTATAATGAACAACGTAAACCGATGAACAAAAACAGATATAGAGACAGAGAAGCATCGATCAGATGCTCAAAACTCAGAGGGAAAGCAGAGGAGGGTGGGGGTGAGGGGGAAAGATCAATCAAAGGACTTGTATGCATGCATATAAGCATAAGTGATGGATGTGGACAACAGGGGGTGAGGGTGAGGGCAGGATTGGGGGCAATGAGGGGACATTGGGGGGATAAGGACACATTTGTAATATCTTATTAAATAAAGGGAAAAAATTTAAAAAATAAATAAAAATAAAGTACAGATGAATTTTAAAAAAATGTATAGGGGGTGGGGAGAGGTAAGAGGGAGTACAGGGGCGATAAATGGTGATGGAAGGAGATCTGACTTGGGGTGGTGGTGAACACACAATACAATATACAGAATTGTACACCTGAAAGCTATATAATTTTATTAACCAATGTCATCCCAACAAATTCAATAAAAAAACTTAATGAGCCTCAAAAGAAAAAAAGAGGCAAAACAGAACAAATAAATCAAGGGGAGGGGATTGAAAAGTTCTCTATGTGCAGGCCAGCACAGTCCATTCCAATAAGGACCTCGAATCTGGTCAAGTGATGATCTAGTGTGTGACATCCTGGTCTTCATCATCCTCGTTCTACAACATCCTAATTCTATGGCTGAAGGTCAGCAAATCTCCTGGAACTGGTACAATTGAAGGTCAGAGCCTGCATCTTCAACTAAAAGGTCCCCTCCTTGAAAAGGCTTTCCTCCATCACCCTAACGCTACTCTAGAGTAGTAGCCTGCTTTCCTTTCTTTATAGAATTTTTTACAATTTCTAATTATCCTTTATGATAGGATTTTAATTACTTAGTACTGTTATTTTCTCACATGCGTATTTAGAACATGAGTTCCACAAGTGAAGAAAGCATGTCTGTTGTCTTTGCCACTATACCCTTGGTGACTAGCACAGTTTATAACTATTGTGGGCTCTCAAATACTTAATGAATGAATGTAAACAAGAACTGTGACTAGGATAAGTTTCCTGATGATCAGCATTTCCCAAGGTAATTACTAGTAGCCCCCAAATCCCATGATTTGGTTCCCCTTAGTTATAAGAGTATACTGAGTACTCACCTCTACCTGAGTAACATTGATGACAAGCACCACCACCGTCAACACTGCAAGCAGACAGCAGAAAAGCCGTAGTTTATAGAAACTGATCCACATTATCTGGCTGTGTCTTGATCACCCATGGCTAACACCATGCTACCTTCACTTCTCAAAACTCCATGTCTTTATTTTTCTGAGCTGCAGGTGAGCTTTCAGTTTCATTTGCTTCTCCTCTGCTAGCATCCTTAAGAGTTCTTAGTATAAAGGAGGAGCTGGGATTCACTTAAGCAACACATTTTTCTTCAGAGGACTCCTGCAAACAGGGAAGATCAGAAAACAGGGTAAGAGGAAAGATACCACATTTCCTGTTCTTTAACCTTAGGAAAGCCCAAAGTCATGCGGGGAAAGAAAACAGCCCGAGCACAGTAACATCTATTCCATAACCAGACAATTTACTGAAACCCAACCCCAGTCTACTGTGTAAATACAATGATATTGGTCCTACTACCTATTTAGGTCTTAACTTTTAAGAGAGCAAAGAAGAATGTCTTTAAACTCTTAGAAATTGCAAAGTTAAAGTAACTGTTAAATTTCTACAGAAGTCTAAGTTTAAAAAATCACTTCAATTCTATTATAGTGCAAGTCATATAATACTATTGGAGTAATTATATTTAAAAAGCATTAAGAGTCCTAACCGGTTTGGCTCAATGGATAGAGCGTCGGCCTGCGGACTCAAGGGTCCCAGGTTCGATTCCGGTCAACGGCATGTACCTTGGTTGCAGACACATACCCAGTAGGGAGTGATTGATGTTTCTCTCTCATCGATGTTTCTAACTCTCTATCCCTCTCCCTTCTTCTCTGTAAGAAATCAATAAAATATTTTTTTTAAAAAAAGCATTAAGAGGAAACATTTGTGATTTTATGTGGAGTTCTGGAATACTGTGCAAGCCTCCTGACATACTCTAAAAAACAAGAGTGCTGCCCCTCTGTATGGCAGAAATCAGGAAACACCCTTTGGGTCTCCAGCTCCTTCAACACATATGTGGTCCCTATGTTCCTTCAGCTGAGTAACAAGCAACAGAAGTAAAGACACCTGCCCTGAAGATACAGGAGAGGAAAGCTAAGCTTGCGGAGGGACAGGACATCCAAATCCTTCATCACATCTGTTAGAGGCAGAGGACTTCAGAGTCTGCCGCTCCTGTTCGCCATGTAATGAATGCAAAATGCTCTCCCCAGTTGCTATTTTGATATAGGTAAGCAGATAAAGTGCTGGCATTTTATTCCCAGTGAGACTTTCCTGGAGGGCAGGGTGGAGAGGTAAAGGAGAAAAAGGTGAACAATCAGAGTGCAGATCTCAGAATACCTCAGCTGCACCATCACTCCCTGCAGCTTTGTGTTGGAACTGGTAAGCCCCCTATTTCCTCACTCACCTACGCCCCCTGTGTAATTCATTCCCATACCACAAGGACCATAACAACCCTTCCTCACCCCAACTTCATAAAGGAGACAAGGCTAAGCTATTGCAACATACTCTCCATCCTCAAAATTCCCACAGCACTTACTATTTTCACTTCTCAGCTGATCTTTCTAATTTTATTGTATTTCTTGTCTCCCCAATTAGACTATACCATTTATGGCTATATTTTTAAAAAATCAATATATCGTTAAAAAAAAACTTAATGATAACAGTGTATCATACTTTTTGACTCTCTCACAGTACTTAGCTCTTTCCATGATATAAGTTGATTCAATACTCTGTATTGCACACTGTACTAAGTACCAGAAATTCCCCTGGAAAAGCTTATAGTCGTATTAGGCAATTAAACAGGAATAAATGCAGCACTCAAAGCCACTTCCAGAGGGATGCCAAATGCTGTGAAAGGCTGCACTTAACCATTTCATAATCCCCCAACACTGCCTCACTCCAAAACCCAGGTACCCACCACGAAGTGCCCCTAAATTCTGGGAAGGAAATGGCTGTGAAACAGGAAAAACGCTGTCACCAGGGCCGCAACTGCTCCTCTGTAGAAACCCTTAAGAAGTTGGCCAAAACAATCAGGTTTCCCTGATGGCCAGAGAGGAAGAAGACCAGAGATGAGACTCCACAGGAATAAGCTGCACCACAGTAGGCATGGCCATGTGCTGTGTGACCACCATCAGAATGGCGGTGTAGTTCAGAGCCAGTCAGCAGCACAGCAGTGGTCAGTGGTGCAGAAGGATGGCAAGAGCAGCAGACCCCAGATCTAAAGGAACTGCAAGGCCACAGGCAGCAATGCAAATATGCAAGAAGCCCCTCATGGCCAGACTTTTACTGAACATCACTATGGAAGATTATGTCAGGGAAAGATCTGACTTCCTGCTACGAGCAAGCAGAGCATAAAGATAAGAGAGACCGGTGCGGGGAAGGAGTACCTCAGCCAAGAAAATTATGCATGCGTTAGGGAAGCTGTGAGAGAATGGCTGTGGAAGCTCTCCACTGCGGTTTGAATCCACAGGGTATTGATCATCCTGCTCATACTGAAGGCATTAAACTGCAAATTGAAGGTGAAGGTGTTGAGTCTCAACCCATTAAAAAGAAACATTTCCAGAAGGTGCTTGACCAAAAAGGAACCCCCAAGCGACTGCAGGCAGAAGCTGAGACGGCTAAGTCATCTACGGTGAAGCTGTCAAAACCAGTGGCTCTGTGGACTCAGCAGCATGTCTGCAAGTGGGTGAAGAAACATTGTCCGAATCAGTATCAGATCTACAGCGAGTCATTCAAACAGCATGACATAACTGGGCGAGCTTTGCTGAGACTTACTGACAAAAAGCTTGAGCGAATGGGGATTGCCCAGGAAAACCTCCGGCAGCACATCTTGCAACAGGTGCTCCAGCTGAAGGTGCGGGAAGAAGTCAGAAACCTACAGTTACTCACACAAGCCTCAATCGACGGTTCTCCATAAACGTGGTGAGCCTTCCAAGATACTCTCCTGCCAGTGGATATGAACATGACCTGCTCCTCCCAGAGAGACTAACTCATGGCCCTGCCAGACGATCCCCTTGGAGCATTGACAGATTAGCCAGATTAACTGCGGGGGAAAGCACCCATCCAGTCAAGCTGATGGGCTTTGGAAAATCTTAGCTTGCCGTAGATTTGAAATCGAGGTGCATTACATGCAGTGCCCACTCGCTGCAAGTGGTCATCGGCAGACGACTAGCTGGAAAATTGCTTCCAGTTTTCATCACTGTGCATCACTCCGGGCCCCTTCGGGGAGCTGTCTGTGCCCCTCCCTGGAAGTCCTGTTTCCGCATGGCAACTACTGGATTCTCTTACTATGTGTGCAGATGGCATGATGTGTTAGACAACAATTACAGCAGTTTTGCAATCTCAAAAAAAAAAAAAAAAAGATAAGAGAGACCATTTGTGCTTCTAATTAGATGTAGCCTAAGGAGCACCAAACAGACCTCTCCTTGAGAACACATATACTAAAATGTTGACAGCTGTCACACTTGGGCAGTTTTCATTTTTCTCCTTCATCTTTATCTTTATGTCCTAATCTTTCACCAAGAACTAAAAAATCACAAATATTAAAAATAAAGCTGGTTTCTAAAAGTAAAGATAAGACAGAAAGAGAAACAAGGCATTAAATATGATATGGGAAAACAATTCAACTTAAAATAAAATATTTAAGACTTTAAAACAAAGGCTATATAAGAGACAAAGAAGGACATTGTATAATAAGGGGATCAATCCAACAAAAGGCTACAACCTTTATAAACTTTTATGCACTCAATATAGGAGCACCTAAACATATGTCAAATCTTGATGGACATGAAGAAACAGATCAACAATAATACAGATCATAAATATATCAGTGGATATATCTTTCAGACAGAAAATAAGGAAACAGTTTAATTATAAACTAGAGGCCTGGTGCACAGTATTCGTGCACTGGGGGCAGGGGTGTCCCTCAGCCCAGACTGCACCCTCTCCAATCAGGGACCCCTTGGGGGATGTCCAACTGCCGGTTTAGGCCCGATCATCGGGCCTAAACCGGCAGTTGGACATCTCTCTCACAATCCAGGACTGCTGGCTCCCAACTGCTCACCTGCCTGCCTGCCTGATTGCCCCAACCGCTTTTGCCTGCCAGTCTGATCACCCCCTAACCACTCCCCTGCCAGTCCGATCGACACTTAACTTCTCCCCTGCTGGCCTGATTGCCCCCAACTACCCTCCCCTGCCAGCCCGATTGCCCCCAACTGCCCTCCCCGCCAGCCTGGTCACCCCTAACTGCCCTCCCCTGCCTGCCATCTTGTGGCGGCCATCTTATGCCCACATGGGGGTGGCCATCTTGTGCGAGGGTGTGATGGTCAATTTGCATATTACCTCTTTATTATATAGGATTATACAATAGACCAGATGAATTGAATTGACATATTCTGAACATTTCACCCCAAAGTAGCAGAATACACATTCTTTTCAAGTGTACATGAAACATTTTATAGGATAGATCACGTTAGGACACAAAATTAATGTCAATGGCCTGGCTGGTGTGGCTCAGTGGTTGAACATCAAACTATGAACCAGGAGGTCACAGTTTGATTCCCAATCAGGGAACATCTCAGGTGGGTTACGGGTTCAATCCCCAGTACATGATTCTCCCTCATCACTGATGTTTCTATCTCTCTCTTCCTCTCCCTTCCTCTCTCTGGAATCAATAAAAACATTTAAAAAGAACTAATCTCAATAAATTTCAAAAGACTGAAATCATGTCAAGCATCTTCTCTGACTACAATGGTATAAAACTATAAATCAATTACAAGGAAAAAAAACTTAAAAGACAAACACATAAAGGCTAGCACTAATTGGTTTGGCTCAGTGGATAGAGCATCGGCATGCAGACTAAAGGGTCCCAGGTTCAATTCCGGTCAAGGGCATGTACCTTGGTTGCGGGCACATCCCCAGTAGGGGGTGTGCAGGAGGCAGCTGATCAATGTATCTCTCTGATCGATGTTTCTAACTCTCTATCCCTCTCCCTTCCTCTCTGTGAAAAAATCAATAAAATATATTAAAAAAACACACATAAAGGCTAAATAATGTTACTAAACAATGAATGGATTAACGAAATCAAGGAAGACATAAAAGATACCTTGAGACAAATGAAAATGAAAATACAACAATGCAAAATCATGGGACACAGTGAAAGCAGTCCCAAGAGGGAAATTCATACCAATTCAGGTCTACCTCAAGAAACAATAAAACTCTCAAATAAACTATCTAACCTTGTACCTAAGGAACCAGATAAAGATACTATAAAGAAAGAAAATTATAGGCCAATAATGAACACAGATGCAAAAATCCTCAACAAAATATTTTAAAAACAAATTCAGCAATACAGTAAAAAGATCATTCACCACGATCAAGTCGGATTTATTCCTGGGATGCAAGATTTGTACAGTATCTGCAAATAAATTAATATGATACAGCACATAAACAAAATGAAGAATAAAAATTATATGATCATATCAATCAATAAATGCAGAAAAAGCACTTTTAAAAGTGCAGAACCCATTTATGATAAAAATTCTCAACAAAGTGGGACTAGAGGGAACATACCTCAATATAATAAAGGCTATATATGAAAAACAGCTAACATCATACTCAATGGGGAAAACTAGAAGTGTCACCGTGAAGATAAGGAATAAGACAGGAATGTCCATTTTCACCACTCTTATTCAACATAGTACTGGAAGACCTAGCCATAGCAAACAGATAAGAAGAAGAAATTAAAGGCATCCAAATTGGAAAGAAAGAAGTAAAACTGTCATTATATGTGAAAGACATAACTGTAAATAGAGAATCCTAAATACCCCACCAAAATACTACTGGAACTGATAAATGAATTCAGGAAAGTAACAGGATACAAAAATAAATATTCAGAAATCAGTTGCATTTTTATACACCAACTAGAGGCCCGGTGCATAAATTTGTGAACGGGTGGGGTCCGGCCAGCCCGTCCCAATCAGGGCCAATCGGGCCGGCCCTTCCCCCGATCAGGGTGGGGGGACCGATTGGGGGCAGGGCTGGCTTTGGGGAGGGTGCCACAGGTGGTTGGCAGGCTGGCCCTGCCCCCGATTGAGATAATGGGGGGCTGATTGGGGGCGGGGGAAGAGCCAGCCAGGAGGAGGGGCCTGGAGAAGACCCACTGCGCTGGAGCTGAGCATGGGACCCAGGCTTCCCAGGGAGGATGGCCTCAGCAAGGAAACAGAAACCACCAGAAGACTCTGCAAACAGGCCCTGAGCTCCCTTTGGCCAGGCGGACTCAGAGCTGGTGTCTCTGTGTGTACATTAGACACAGCCCAGCACTCGCCTTTGTTGTTGCTCAAATCCATTGCATCAAAAAACTTGTTCCCCTTCTTCTCTTTGGGCCCTTACAACAAATACAGGCCAATTGGAGGACATGGGCCCCAGAAGCAGAGCCAGGCCCCAGAATCACCTGCAATTTAGGCCTAAGACAACTGGGTAGCAATCTCCACAGAACAGAACACACTGTTTTAGT